TGTGTACTCAGACCAGTAATAATTGGGGTCACAAGTTTTTGCCATGAATATTTTGTGGGTCAGAAGATAAAAAGTTTGGGAACCACTGCTTTAGATGACTGAATAAGCTACCTTTCAGCGAGCACTTGTGTTTACTTTATTTCTCACATTGCAGAGAACAACAGTGTGAGCAATCTTCTTATTTTACTCGCAATTTGGAGAACTGAAAGAGAAAGCTGTCACTTCACATTCTTTAAAAGGGGGCATATCACACAAAATCCACTTTTTTAGCCAGTAAGTACATTTTGTTGTGTACTCAGGAGTCTTTGGGAGTGCAGGACATTCAAATCTAGTCTCCCCCTGTGCTGCAAAGATATCTTTATATTCTGTTTGGATCTTTGTCAACTTGTTCAGTTTTCTCTATTATGATGTTTTCTGAACCATTAGATCACAGTATTTGCAATGGAACTGCAAACTGTGAAAGAGGGGCTTGTGGAGTTACAGTAATAAGGAAGTCAGACCAAAGCATTGCAGTTCCACAGACCCCTTTAAATGTGAGAATTAGAAAACGTAAATGTAGGGAAAAAAAAAGAATTTAAAAACATTAAGATAAGAGTTAACCTAAGTTATATGAACAATAAATATTTTACTTGTTGTACATATAGCTTTTTAATTAAACTCAGTTTGGAGAAATAAGAATTTAATTCTGAGTTCATTGATGAGCTAAAAGCTAACAAGAACAAAAGCAAAGCACAAGAAAACAAACCATGACTGCTTATTTTAAGAATTTATTTCCAAATGTAAACCTCACTATATCATGCATACAAGTTATGACAACATACATTACTCAACAATCTGTTATTTTTCCGTATTTGCATAGGACATGGTCACAATAAACTGTCTGACATGTAAAAAATAATGCCATAAAAAGGTACAACAGAGCAGCTAAGACCAGCACAATAAAATGTGTGTGTAGAACTCGAGGATCTGTACAACTGTAATACTTGAATGTAGTGATTTTGGTTTGCTGAAAAAAAAAAGAACAAAGAGACACCTGAAGGTTTTTGATGAGGTTTCAAACGGAGAATGTACTGGCCATAGCTGAGTCGAGGGTTATTTACAGAGATTACACCGGTGCTAATAGCAGAGGAGAGGGGAAGCAGCACCGTGGAGTCACTACAACAGGCAACTGATGGTGAGGATCAACACACAGAGGTATCAAGRGAGCAACGTTACACTGAGGAGGTACACTGAGGACGACACAGGTACAGGGAACCGAACCAAAGAGCTGCTGAGTGGTTCTCTACTCGTCGGCAAGGTCGCTGCAGAACCTGGAACAAACCCTTCGTTTAAGGGCCACAAACATCCAACAGACTTTCTCTACAATGAGGAGTCAGTTCAAAGAGCTGGGAAACACCAAAGGAAATCAGCATTTCTCTATTTTAGACTCATTACGAGTGTTTGTTTGAACAATTTTAGTCCATTCAAGTCATTGTTAAGCGTTTTTCTTTTTTTTTTCCTCTTTGTTTTTACTCGAAGAATAGAAAAAAGGTCCATGTCGAGCACAATGTCCACATTTCAACAACTGAACCCAGTCAAATGATGCTGGATTCGAAACTTTGCGGCAACATTCATCACTCCCTTCAAAAGCCTTTGGTAACAACAATCAAAAGCCATTCTATAACTCTATGGCTGCCTCCTAAAATCAACAACAACAAAAAAAAMCCCACCTATATTTAAAAATAAAAACGCTCCAAGCCTTGTCGTGAGGGAAGACATGCTCTGTAACCTTGTCATTCAAATTGGCCAGGGGACGTGGGATGATGATAAAAAGCTGAAATAAAAAAWWAATAAAAAAGTGTACCTTGTGCCCACCTCAACAAGGCATAAAAACCTCACAGTCAGAACAATCCTACAAAAATCAGGTTGATGGAAGCAGCACAGTTAGAGCAATCATAAATCCTTTGGAATGGTTTGAGCGTCTTCTATCATCGTCTCGTTTTCTTTTTCTTTTTACGTCAAAAATACCTGTAATAAGCATCAACGCACCGGTTCAGTATGAACTCAAACAAAGCTACACAATAAAGCMGAACAGAAAGATTTCAACTTTGAGCCGCTGCGTATCAAATACGCAGAGTCGCTTTGTTAAATCTGGTACATTTTAACATGTCACACTTTATAAAACTGTACAAGTTTGTTTTCTTCTGTTTTTCACCCACGACATTTGAAAACCTCTCTAAGAAGCTACCGATATATGTTTGGCACACAGTTGCGTCGATCATGCTTCAGCTATCAGTCGGATCACACTGATGCTGAGGATATAAACTTCCTGAATAAACTGTTAATTTGTCATTTGCATTTATATTCGTGTTACCATTTGAACAAAAGGACATTGTTAGTATTGTCAAAAACCTTTGCTTTTAGCCACAGTTTAAACAGGACATGTGTAACCATATCAGGATTCAACCATAAAACAATGCTCAGATTCACCAGGATGTGTTGCTGCTTTTGTAACAAAAAGTAATAAAAATATATATTTATTGTTATTCCTGGAAATAAATCTTTTTATCAACATGCAGGACCTGGCATTATGATATAATTATGCAAAATGTAGCCCAGTGCTTTTTTTTTTTTT